GACAAAGATGTTAAACAACGCTGGTCCCAGTACCCAACCCTGAGGAATGCCACTCGTCACCGGTCTCTGCTTGGACATTGAGTCGTTGACTACAACTCTTGTGTGAACATCCAGCCAATTCCTTATCCACCAAGTGATCCATTCATCAAATCCACGTTTCTCTAATTTAGAGGCAAGGTTGTTGTGCAGAGCAATGTCAAAAACTTAGTACAGGTCCAGGTAGATGATGTCATTTGCTCTTCCCTTATCCACCAATGCTGTAACCCTGTGGTAGAAGGCCACCAGATTTGTCAGGCACAATTTGCCCTTAGTGAAACTGTGTTGGCTGTCACCAGTCACCTCTTTATTTTCCATGTATCTATGCATAGTTTCCAGGAGGATCTGCTCCATGATCTTGCCAGGCCCAGAGCTCAGCTGACTGGCCTGTAGTTCCCCGGGTCTTCCTTTTTTCCCTTTTTAAAAATGGGGGTTATATTTCCCCGTTTCCAGTCAGTGGGAACTTCCCTGGACTGCAACAACTTGTCAACTATGATGGATAGTGGCTTAGCCACTTCATCCACCAGTTCCCTCAGGACCTGCAGATGCATCTCATCACATCCCATGGACTTGTGCACCTTCAGGTTCCTTAGATGGTCTTGAACCTGATCTTCTCTACAGTGGGTGGTTCTTTCTTCTCCCAGTCCGTGCCTTTGACTTCTGCAACTTGGGCGGTGTGACTGGAGCACTTACTGGTGAAGACCAAGGCAAAAAAGTCATTGAATACCTCAGTCTTCTCCATGTCCCAGGTAAGCAGGTGTCCCGTTTCCTTCCATAGAGGGCCCACATTTTCCCTAGTCTTCCTTTTGTCATCGACATACCTTTAGAACCTTTTCTTGTTGCCCTTGGTGTCCCTGGCCAGATTTAATTCTATCAGGGCTTTAGCTTTCCTATAACGTGATCCCTGGCTGCTTGGACAATTTCTCTGTGTTCCTTCCAGGCTTCCTGTCTTTGCTTTCACCCTCTGGAGGCTTCCTTTTTGTCATTGAGTTTGTCCAGGACCTCCTTGTTCACCCATGCAGGCCTCCTGGCTTTTTTGCCTGACTTCCTCTTTGTTGGGATGCATTGCTCCTGAATTTGGATAAAGTGATCCTTGAATATTAACCAGTTTTCTTAGGCCTCTCTTCCCTCCAGGCCTTTACCCCATGGTACTCTACCAAGCAGCTCCCTGAAGAGGCCAAAGTCTACTCTCCTGAAGTCCAGGGTAGTGAGTTTGCTGTGCACCGTCCTCACTGCCCTAAGGATCTTGAACTCCACCGTTTCATGGTCACTGCAGCCAAGGCTGCCCCTGCGCTTCACATTCCCCACCAGCCCCTCCTTGTTGGTGGGAACAAGGTCCAGAATAGCACCTCTCCTCGTTGACTCCTCTATCACTTGGAGAAGGAAGTTATCATCAACACATTCCAGGAACCTCCTGGATTGCTTATGCTCTGCTGTGTTGTCCCTCCTACAGATATCGTGGTGGTTGAAGTCTCCCATGAGGACCAGGTCTTGTGAGTGTGAAGCTGCTCCTATGTGTCTGTAGAGGGCCTTGCCCGCCCAGTTGATGGTCAGATAGCCTGTAGCAGACCCCCACTATAGTGTTGCCTGTCCTTGCCCTCCCTTTAATCCTGACCCTTAGGCTCCTCATTCATCCCCAGGCAGAGCTCCATGTACTCCAGCTGGTCATTGACATAGAGGATGACACCCCCTCCTCATCTCCTTTGCCTGTCATTCCAAAAGAACCTATATTCTTCCATTCCAACGTTCCAATCACAGGAGTCCTCCCACCATGTCTCTGTGATGCCAGTAAGGTCATAGCCCTGCAGATGTGCGCACGTCTCTTACTCCTCTTTGACAACATAGAGTTTTCCCTTTTTGCCTTGATTGAATTCCTCTTCGAGATTACCCAAATGTCCTGTATTTGCCACCCTCCTGCTACCATTTCTCTGCTGTAACCTTGGTATTCAACTTCTTAGTAACCCCTGTTTACCTTCAATACTTTAATTTAGATCTCCACCTGCCCCCCAACAAGCACCTCACCCTCCCTATTTCCATGTTGTATGAAGTCCCAGGTTGATATAATTAAAATAATAATACAGTTTTGAAACAATTTAGATGATGGAGTGCTTAGTTATTGGATTGTTTGTACTTATGTGGCTTACATTAAAAATATAAATGGACCATATTGAGTAATAGCAGTCTACTTTCGTCTTCAGGCATTCTAAAGACAGAGTATATTGCAGAGATACATCTGCATGTAAAGGATTTTGCAGTTTACATAATTTCATTTTGAAAAATATTCAGAAATGTAGGATGGAGGCTTTGTGCTACTGACATGTTCAGTATTCATTTTCCAGCTGCATATTATTAACCTGATATAGGGACAGGGTAAAATTGGAAATGCTAATAGTGGTGATTCCCTTTCTTACAGCTGAGGAGAGGGACAGGACACGGTTTTGGTGGGAAGGGAGGAGAATGCAACTGTTAGACAGAGCCTCGTTTCCTTTTTAATTATACTTTTAAAATGGAAGCAATAAACTGGTGTTCATGTATTACAGTAAGGCATATTGCAGAAAGAGAAAGTATATGTTCAAAGCATATGTACAGAAATAGACATAGGACACAGTTTTGAAAGCGGAGGGTTGAAACCAGAGCAAAACAACGCCAGGGAGCCTGGCAGGGCAGAAGGGAGGGCTGCCCTCTGCCTGCTGGGGAGTCATCTGGGGAAGGGAGGCAGGCAGGGAGGGGAGGGAGAGCGGAGGAAGAAGCTGCTAGATCCTGCTGTACTGGATTGTGGTTACTGATGATTTTATGTGGTTTTGTGTACATTATTGTTTGGGTGTTTCTTTTTTTCAGGCAACGATTTCCCCAGTCACATTAGCATAGTCGAAGAAGAGAACTAAAAAACTAGAAGAAGGGTTAAAATGATTAATTTTTTTTTACTCTGAAAGTTTGGGAATCAAATATCAGGACACAGGAGAAGGTGGGAGAGCTGACTCATGATTTTCAGGTGCTGGAGGCTGACAGTGCAATTTCCCCTGACTTCACTTTAAGATAGGAAAAAAACCAGGATGTATTTTCAAAGCTCTGGATTGAGTAGAATCATGTGTAGGTTTTGAAAGAAAGTTTGTCAACATGCATTGATACTCTTAAACTAAGGTGTGCAATAAACCAGTAAATTATTATTTTTGAGCTTGTATTTAAATGTGAAATGGAATTGACTACAGTGTGTTTTTTATGATAAGAAATGTATTATTTCGGACTCATAAGACTCAAGATGTAATTTTTTTGTTTTGTTTGTTGTCAGGTGAGTGTAAGTGTGAAGACACGTGGTCTGGATGCATAATGGGAGACACGGGGTAAGGCATTTCACTTAGGGAAGGTCATGTCCTTCATAGAATGGCATAAACAAAAGGCATGAAAATGTTTGCCTTTTGTGGTTC